CCCTTACGTATAACAGAGGGATGAAGCTGCTCTGAAGTTGTGCTAGATCACCTCTCCCTGCTCTCTGTTCCTGGTGGCGTTCCTGGAATCACTTCTTCCCCCAGCATTTTGAGATTCTCTGCAAAGTTGTTAGGGAGGGTGACAATACCTCAAATTTGGGCTGTACACATTTATAAAATCCATGCACTATGTCACTCCAGCAGGTCCCCAGCATGCCCTGTGGGGCAGGCAGGGCGTCAGGCATTCCACCACCACTGAATAGACCTCAGTCTCGGGTTATCTGACTTCAAGATGTTCCATTTTCCTTCCCTCCTCTCCCACAACCCCCGGCCCTACCAGTCTAACGGGGCTAGGCTTCCCTAGGTGAGCAGCAGGTCATGAGACAGGCTGACAGTACATGTGACCCTGACACCCATGTTGTCCCCATCCTTGCCATCCTCACATTTAGTGACACACTATGCCAGGTACCAGGCTAAGCTCTTTTATATTTCTTACCTTCCCTTAATCCTCATAATAACCTTGTAAGATGGTAAGAATTAGTATTGCCAGTTTTAGATGAAGAAATTGAGGCCCAGAGAGGTTAAGGAACTTGCCCAAGGACACACAACCAGGAAGTAGTAGAGCTGGGTCCTGCAGCCAGGGCTCTTGGCTATGCTATCAAGACTCCACAGCATGAGGTCTCCTCCATGTTGAAAATGACTCCTCTCTGACATGTTGCACCAAGATTTTCTAGAAATTGGACTCATGATCTTTACAGAGGCAGCTTGGGATGATATAATGAATGGTTTTGGAGATGTATTCCCACTTACTAGCTCTGTCTGAGCCTCAGTGACCTCGAGTGTAAAGGGGGAATAATGTGAAGACCGATTCAGATGACAGATGCTATGTGCCTCATTACCCCTAAAGGAGAGGAAGATTCCTTATGGAGAAGGTATTATCTCTTTTTTTTTTTTTTTTTTGGAGACAGAGTCTCGCTCTGTCGCCCAGGCTGGAGTGCAGTGGTACAATCTCGGCTCACTGCGAGCTCCGCCTCCTGGGGTCACACCATTCTCCTGTCTCAGCCTCCTGAGTAGCTGGGACTACAGGCTCTCGCCACAATGCCTGGCTAATTTTGTGTATTTTTAGTAGAGACGGAGTTTCATGATGTTAGCCTGAACGGTTTTGATTTCCTAACCTTGTGTCCGCCTGCCTCAGCCTCCCAAAGTGCTGGGATTACAGGCGTGAGCCACCATGCCCGGCCGGTATTATCTTTTGAAGGCCTCACTGGCAGGATGGCTCCGGGGCAGGGCTGTGGAGGGTTTTATCTCTTCTTCCTTCAACAACATGGATGGATCCTATCTACCTGGTCCCTACTCACCCCCAGCACAGGGATTTCCAGGTCATCCAGCTCTGAAGGGTGGGTCACCTGGGAGTGGAAGGTGCAGAGTGGGAGCCACAGGCTGCCCCAGGTGGCCCAGGGGAACCAGGTGGGAAAGAAAGACTGGAGGTGGGGCCAGGGTCTTGGGCCCTAAGAAAAACCTTCCTCTCCAGGTTGAGGCTGGAGTGTGGGGTGGGAGGCAGAGGCAGGCTGTGGGTGTGGGGACTGCCTCAGTGCAGTCCATCCTGCCCAGGCTGAGCTCAGGAATGGGGAGGGAGGCTGTGCCAACATGCTTCCTAGGGTTGGGGGAATGAGGCCTCTTTCCCGAGGAGCAGACTGAAATGAGGTGAGGCTTCTGGAACCTCACTCGCTGGAAGAGGAGGCCAGCTGGATCTTGCGTGCAGGGTACAGCTGGGTCTGCCCTGGCTGGGTGTTGAGAGCCCAGGCTGAAGAGGGCTGTGGGTAAGCAGTTGCAATGCTTTTTCTGTGCTGTGAGCCCAAAACGGTTTTCTGCTCTCAGGGAGTTGGAGGAGGGTGTGGTAGAAGTGAGGCAGTGCCTTCTCTTCCCTGTGCTCTGACTGCCTGGACAATCTTTAGACAGTCACTCAGACACACTCTCAGCTTCCACTAAAGCGATGTGGAGGTACAGGGGTCCCCCAGGGCAGCCACGGGCCAAATGAGCAGCTACTTCTGGGCTGTGTCACCCTAGAGTCTCTGCCCAGCACCCTCTGAATGCCTCCTTCAAGATCCCCCACCCTAATCAAACCAAGATGGAATTTCCCCCAGTACAAATCAAGCTGAGCTGTTTTTCAAGAAAGTAATTGTAGCTAAACCTGAAACGTGAACCTGAAAACCCAGGTCACCTGCTTTGTCCTGAGGGCTGACCTAGGTCCAGGTTCAGCAAACTCATGCTAAGGATGGTATTTCAGATGTCAAATCACTGGTCAGAGTGCAACTGAAAGCATCGTGCAATCAAGGGCGAGCTGACCCACTCCCACCCCTTCCCGCCCAGGTACCCCCACCCCCACTCCCCGTCTTCTGCAGGCCTTGGGCAGTCAAGGCCTGGCGGAGCCCCACCCTGCACAGCTGCAGATATTTATAGCCATGTCCCTTTTCCAGCCCATGTCGAGGGCTCTGCTGTGCTTGCTCTCTAGCTCTCTGGAAGCCCTGCTGAGAATTCAAATCTGGGCCATCAAGAAGTTCAGGAACAAGTCTCCCAAAAAAACTGAAATTGTATGCTCTAATGTTAAAGCCGCCTTTTCCTTTTCTCTGGCTGGGAGTGAGGGGAACTGGGAAGAATGAATTCCTGACACACCTTTCTTGGGGTTTTTGTTTTGTTTTGTTTTGTTTTGTTTTTGGCTTTTGCAGTGCCTGCATCTACCTACAGCCCGTCCCCAGGGGCCAATTACAGTCCCACTCCCTACACTCCCTCGCCTACCCCTGCCTACACCCCCTCACCTGCCCCTGCCTATACCCCCTCACCTGCCCCTGCCTATACCCCCTCGCCTGCCCCCACCTACACTCCATCCCCAGCACTAGCCTATACCCCTTCGCCTGCTCCCAACTATAACCCCGCACCCTCGGCGGCCTATAGTGGGGGCCCTGCGGAGCCTGCTAGCCGTCCCCCCTGGGTGACAGATGACAGCTTCTCCCAGAAGTTTGCCCCGGGCAAGAGCACCACTTCCATCAGCAAGCAGACCCTGCCCCGGGGGGGCCCAGCCTACACCCCGGCGGGTCCCCAGGTGCCACCACTTGCCAGGGGGACCGTCCAGAGGGCTGAGCGCTTCCCAGCCAGCAGCCGGACTCCACTCTGCGGCCACTGCAACAACGTCATCCGGTATGGTCCAGCTGTGCCCCTGCATTGGGGCACTGGAAGGGCGTGTGTGCGGGGTTCTTGTCCACAGTCTGAGCCCTGGTAGGGAGAGATGGGGGTAGGAGGCAGGTGTAGGGAGAAAGGCTCGGGTCCTTCTGGCTTGCCCTCTGGTCTGACCTCTCTGAGCCTTAGCTGCCATACTTGTGTGACACCCACTCCCCCAGGGAGCTGGGAGGTTGGCATGAGGTATGTGGGTGAAGCTCCAGCAGGGTGCCTGGTGCCAGGAACTCCCCCTTGGGCTAAGGTTGAGTTCTGGGAATCACCAGACTTGTCAGTAGGTTTACGGGGCATGTTGTAAGACAGTGTTGGTTTTGACCCAGTTTTCCTTTAGGGTTGCTTCTGGGTCTTTCCACAGATAGGCCTGGGCTGCTCAGGGAGTTGGTGGGCATCTGCCAGACTAAAATGAAAACAAGTGATTTCACACTTAGAAGCCATGGACCATGGGTGCTGTTGTTTGAATACAGTATGTTTGTATGCATGTGTGGTGTGAGCTTATATGCATGAAAAATACACTTTTATTTAAAACTAAGGTAATACATATTCATTAGTGAAGAATTAGAAAACACAGAAAAATAAAAATTAGAATATAAAGAAATGTCCTTGTAGTCCCACTGTTCTGACTGCTAACCTGGAGCTAGACAATACAGGTTTGTATCCTGGGTCTACCACTTACTAGCCCTATGGCCTTAAACAAGTTGTTCAAACTCTGTGTGCCTCAGTTTCCCTATCTAAAAATGGGTATTATAATAGTACCTACTTCGTAGGATTGTTGTGAGAATTAAGCAAGTTAATAAATGCAAAAGTCTTCTTGAATAGAACCTGACACACAGTAATCACTTAATAAGTGTTAGCCATCAGCATCATCATTATTGGATATCTTACTGTCATTATCAGTGGTCAACTGAATTCTATGATATGTTTACCCAGTCCCCTATTGGTAGATGTTTGAGTTGCTTCCTGGTTTTCTTTATTGTAAGTGATGCAACAATGATCACCTTTCTGCATGGAGCTTTCTCTGAATTTCACATTACTTCATCAGAACAGTCACAAAAGTCAGAGTTATTGGGTAAAAGTATGAACAGTGTTGGGGTTCTTGAAATACCTAGTTCCAAGTTCTGGGGGCTGCCTTACTGGATGCCATTCTCTGCTTCCCCAGGGGCCCATTTCTGGTAGCCATGGGCCGTTCTTGGCACCCTGAGGAGTTCAACTGCGCCTACTGCAAGAGTTCCCTGGCAGATGTGTGCTTTGTGGAAGAGCAGAACAACGTTTACTGTGAGCGATGTTATGAGCAATTCTTTGCCCCACTCTGTGCCAAGTGCAACACCAAAATTATGGGGGTAAGTGGACAGCCTCCCTTTCCTCTGACCCATGTCTCTTCCCCAGCCCTTCCCCAAGATCATGGGGTCCCATTAGGAAGCCAAGAAGTTGCTGGTAACAGAGAGAAAGCAACTCCATTTTTATCCTGAAAGGGAATTGGTTTGCCACCAATAAACTTGGGGATAAATGAACTTGATGCAAGAGATGATTGTGCGCCTGTACCACACAGCTTGAAGTGGTGGTGGAACTTCTGCAAAGCAAGTGATTGCTTCATAACCTGACTTTACCACTCACCAGAATGTGGCCTTGACCCTCAATGCCTCTTTGGTAAATGACAGTAATAAGCAGTACCTCCTCCCAGGTTTAATGGGAGGATTAAGCATCACAGTTTATGTAAGAATGCACAAGACCTGGCACCCAGCTGGAGAGTGACAACCCCTTCTCTGCTGCCCCTGGGTCTTTCTTCAGAGTGACCGAGGCCTGCATCCTGAGCTCTCCTGCCCTATTCCCCAGTAGGATGCTCGGGCAGTGGCCGGAGCCTGGTGGGGTAGTCAAGCCCGCTCCCTTTCTGCTTTCTGTCCTGAGCTCGGGCTCTTTCCCCCAGGAAGTGATGCATGCCTTGAGACAGACATGGCACACCACCTGCTTCGTCTGTGCGGCCTGCAAGAAGCCTTTTGGGAACAGCCTCTTCCACATGGAAGATGGGGAGCCCTACTGCGAGAAAGGTAGGAACACTTTGATGGCATGCGGGGAGGCCCTGCAGACTGGGAGAAAGGGGCAGGCACAGGGAACTAACTCCTGCCTAATCCATTCACATCCAGCCACCCAGAGGCCTTTATTTCTGGAAGAAACCTTTGTTTTTGTTTTTAATGGCAGAATCATGCTAATATCACACAAAGGAAGTTAACTATCTCCCCTGCCCATATGGTTGTAGCTTTGGGGAGAGTGAGGTGCAGAGTCTATAGCTTATTTTATGCATCAAATATGTGGATCTGGTTGGGTAGGTGGCTCACACCTTAATCCCAGCACTTTGGGAGGCTGAGGCAGAAGAATTGCTTGAACCCAGGAGTTTGAAACCAGCAACATAGCAAGACCCAGTCTCTGCAAAAAATATAAACATTAGCCAGGTGTAGTGGTGCGTGCTTGTAGTCCCAGCTACTCAGGAGGCTGAAGTGGGAGGATCATTTGAGTCCAGGAGTTCAAGTCTGCAGTAACCTGTGATAGCACCATTGTATTCAGCCTAGGCAACAGAGTAGGATCCTGTATCTCAAAAAAAAAAAAAAAAAAAAAAATGTAGCTCACAAGTTGCCATCTTATGACCACTTGGGAAACCTTTCAGGTTATTTTGATTTGGAGACCACAAGGTCTATTCTGAAAAGGCCTTGGCTATGGACTTTGTCCTTCATTCTATTCCTGGTTCCACTTCGGGCTGCTTTGTAATCCTGAGCAAGTTAGTAACCTTCTCTGAGCTTTACTTTCCTAATCTGTAAACACCCACCTTAGAGAACCATGGTGAGGATTACACCAGAGAAGGCATGTAGAGCATCAAATATGTGAGACCCCTTCCTCTGCCCCTGTGATATTTATCAGACTTTGATGTTCCTTCAGATTCCTGTAATCTCACTGAGTGAATTCAGAGTTTCTCTGTACCCCCAAAATGCTATATGTTATGTTAAAATGCCGAGTAAATTATTGTAAATTCAGGAGACAAAGCACGTCATTAGATAGGTGGGAGTCAGTCATTCATTTATTCAGAGACTTTCCCCTTCAGACCTTTCTGAAGCAGATTCCAGAAAAGGTAACACAGACATGAAGGCTAAGACAGTAGAACCAGAAAATCAGAGGTGGTAAAAGCAGGCATGCCGATTATGAAGAATAACAGAGCTGCAGGGACTAACCAGGTAACAAATTTGAGGGCAAAAAGAGAAACACAGTAAGTTAGTTTACTTTAAAACCAGAAAAGAGAAAACATTCAGTTCCTCAAGGGAAAAAGCAAAACAAAATTAAAACTTCTTTCCCCGACTGTGAATTAGAAAATAAAAGTCTTGGCCTGGCGCGGTGGCTCATGCCTGTAATCCCAGCACTTTGAGAGGCCAAGGCGGGCAAATCACCTGAGGTCAGGAGTTCAAGACTAGCCTGACCAACACGGTGAAACCCCGTCTCTACAAAAATAGCCGGGCATGATGGCGGGTGTCTGTAATCCCAGCTAGCTGGGAGGCCGAGAATAATTTTTTGTAGAGATGAGGTCTTGCTATGTTGCCCAGGCTGGTCTTGAAATCCAGGGCTCAAGCAATCCTCTTGCCTTGGCCTCCCAAAGTGTTAGGGTTAGAGGCATGAGCCACCGTGCCTATTTTTGATTTTGTTCTATAAAAAAAAAAAAGAAAGAAAGAAAGAAAAGAAACGTCTTGGGTTCTTGTACTAGTGAATGCCCTTCCCAGCTCTGAAGTTAACTGAATGACCTGAAACATGTCACTTAGTTACTCCGTGCCTCAGTTTCTATATCTGTAAAAGGGAGAAGATAACACCAGTCCTTTCGTTTCTTATGAGCATATGATATTGATTGGTAGTTAAAGAAAGTGCTGTTATGCTTATACAGATTGCTGGTATTCTTCTACTAAAAGCATTATAAGCCGAGACGGGTGGATCACGAGGTCAGGAGATCGAGACCATCCTGGCTAACACGGTGAAACCCCATCTCTACTAAAAAAAATACAAAAAACTAGCCGGGCGAGGTGGCGGGCGCCTGTAGTCCCAGCTACTCGGGAGGCTGAGGCAGGAGAATGGTGTAAACCCGGGAGGCGGAGCTTGCAGTGAGCTGAGATCCGGCCACTGCACCCCAGCCTGGGTGACAGAGCGAGACTCCGTCTCAAAAAAAAAAAAAAAAAAAAAGCGTTATAACTTCTATTATTTGAGATAAGCCTCAATTTGTGTCTGAGGCTTTTGAAAGAATGATAGATTTCCATTATCACTGCTGCCCCTTGTCATAGCAACTCCCCCAAAAAGATTCTCAAAAATGATGTTTTGAGTAAGAAGATCCAGGAAGAAGATGGTCTAGTGTTAAGAGAAGACAGTGAGGAAGTAGATTTACCTTCAGACCTAGGTACCTGGAGAGACCCAGACTCGAATCCCACATGGGCCACTTCCAGGCTGAATGGCGATGGGCAAATTATTTACCCCTTCTGAGTCTCCATTTCCTCCTCCGTTGTCCAGGCTGGAGTGCAGTGGCACAATCATGGCTTACTGCAACCTTGTCCTCCTGGGCTCAGTTGATCCTCCCACCTAATCCTGTAGCTGGAACTTCAGACATCCGCCACCATGCCTAGCCAATTTTCATAATTTTTTGTAGAGATGAGGTCTTGCTATGTTGCCCAGGCTGGTCTTGAAATCCAGGGCTCAAGCAATCCTCTTGCCTTGGCCTCCCAAAGTGCTGGGATTACAGGCATGAGCCACCGTGCCTATTTTTGATTTTGTTCTATTTTTGATTTTGTAAGGAACCTCTTACTGTTTTCCATAATGGCTGCACTGTGTTACAAACTCATTAACAGAGTACAAAGGTTCCAATTTCTCTGGTAGCCTTGCAAACACTTGTTATTTTCTGTTTTTAAAAAAATAGTAGTTATCCTAATGGGTATGAGGTGAAACTTCATTTTTATGTCTTGTCATTTTAATCAACAATTTGGAAGAAGACACAGAAGGGAGTCCTGTCAAATCTGCATATTGAGCCAGAATGATAGGGTCTAGGCTGAAAAATGCTTCAGCTGGCTGCAAAGATAAGCTGACAACTGCATATAAGGAAGAGAGGTAGGAGGGTCAGCCCTTCACAGATGAACCTGCACCTGAGCAGTTCCCAAACCTGGCATCATGGTCACCTAGGGAACTTAACAAACTAGAGAGAAAATAGATTTTTCAGACCTACCTCAGACCCCACAGAAGCCAGGCTTTCATAGGTGCCCCCCCTACCAGGTGTTTCGTTAAGGTGTGGGAATCAGGAGTGTTCTCGAAGGTGTGGTCGCCAGCACCAGCAGCAACGCTATCGCACCTGAGAACTTGTTAGAAATGCAGATCTTCAGGCCCCAGCCACCAGATCTGGTGACATTAGAAACTCTGAGGGAGAGGCCTGGCACCTGTGTGTTTCAACAAACCCTCCATGTGGTTCTGGAATATAGGGCCAAAGCCGGTTGGGAAATCTATCTTGTCTTGTAGCAAGACAAAAGTAACTGAAGAAGCGACCGGTGTCCAATTCTCAGAGATCCTGCTGTGGATGGAAAATGGCATGGATTCTCTTTTAGCTGTATATGCTTAAATGCAGTGGAGTGGTGTATTTGAGGCTTCGGGACAAGAAGAGGGAGTCAAGAAATTAGAAAAAGACTTAAAGAGAGAAATAAAGGAAGGAATAATATAAAGTTAGCTTAAGCTTGATAGATTATGCTCTCTTGTGGAAATGCATGCCCCGATCAGAGATGCACAGACTGTTCGGTTACGCTGGTCACAGCAATGTTTATCCTTTGTCCAGAACACGAGAGAAAGAAAAGGCAACTTGAATTTCAAGCTATGTACTATATTAGGATCAGACCCTAGTGGACTAAGATATTGTCGCATGTTATTGGTAAGACAAGTAACAAAGTGTCTCCTAATTTCGGCGAGAAGTCGAATTAAAAGCAGAAACAATTATCCAGTGGGCAAGTGTGCATATGAGAAGTAAGAAGTTCGAGGCCTTTTTTGTTTTGTTTTGTGGACAGTTAGTCGTCAGCGATGTTGCAGGCTTGGGCTGAGAATATAGTGTGCTGCGCTCATCGCGTGAGATAGATTGGATCACTGGCACTAACACAATCTCCTTCCGGGTTCAAGCAGTTCTCTGCCTCAGCCTCCCAAATAGCTGGCATTACAGGTTCCTGCCACCAAGCCTGGCCAATTTTTGTATTATTAGTAGAGACAGGGTTTCACCATCTTGGCCAGGCTGGTCTTGAACTCTTGACCTCGTGATCTACCCGCCTCGGCCTCCTATAGTGCTGGGATTACAGGCATGAGCCACCGCACCTGGCCAATTCAAGCCACTTTAATAGCTTAATCTGTGAAAAGCCAGTAAGAGAAGGAATCACTATTTAATTAGGTTGTTTGAACCATTTAATTTAATTTTTATATTTATTTAAATATGGAACACAGCCCGGCTTGGTGGCTCACGCCTGTAATCATAGTACTTTAGGAGGCCAAGGCAGGAGGACCCCTTGAGCCCAGGAGTTTAAGACCAGCTTGGACAATATAGGGAAACCCCGTTTCTGGAAGAAAAAAAAATTAAAGTAGCTGACCGTGGTGGTGCACACCTGTGGTCCCAGCTGCTCAGGAATCTGAGGTGGGAGCATAGTTTGAGCCCAGGAAGTTGAGGTTGCAGTGAACTGTGACCACATCATTGCATTCCATCCTGGGTGACGGAGCAAGACTTTATCTAAAAAAAAAAAAGGAGATGATGAATGAATGGATAGGATACATGGATAAATGGAGGAGGGAAGCCCAGAGAAAGCCTTCAGCAAGGCCATCTTGCTGGGTTGGGGTAGGCAGGGGATGAAGACTTCCTTGAAGTACAGTCTAGCACAAAAGATTGCAGAGATTCTCTCAGGTACAGAAAGTGGGGATGGTTTTCTAAGCCCAGGGCCTGGTTTACACAGAGACATGGAGGTGTAAGAGAAAGTCCAGGGCACCATGAGACCACCTGGGAGTGATAAGAAAGAAGTCGTAAGTGGGGTGAAGGACTAGTTCTCAGGTGGAGACGAGTTAGCCCATACCACATAGTAGTAAGTTCCTGCAGAGCACAGAGTGAACTGCAACCTGTGCTGTTAACTTTCTAAAGGAAGCAGAACGATGTTTTCTTTTTTTTTTTTGAGACGGAGTCTTGGTCTGTCGCCCAGACTGGAGTGCAGTGGCTGGATCTCAGCTCACTGCAAGCTCTGCCTCCTGGGTTCATGCCATTCTCCTGCCTCAGCCTCCCAAGTAGCTGGGACTACAGGCACCCACCACCACGCCCGGCTAATTTTTTGTATTTTTAGTAGAGACGGAATTTCACCATGTTAGCCAGGATGGTCTCGATCTCCTGACCTCGTGATCCGCCCGCCTCAGCCTCCCAAAGTGCTGGGATTACAGGCGTGAGCCACCGCTCCCGGCCATACGATGTTTTCTTAGCTCTGGCAAGGCAATGCATTTCTGCCTACTAAAGAAATTAAGTGTTCCATCAGAGAGGATTGATGGACTGGGATACATAAGAGCATTTGCATGACAAGCTACAATTAGGCACAAAAGGGGAAGCTGTATATTGGAAAACATATGCAAGAGATAAGTGTAACTGATCAAAGCTCAATGGCAGGCCGGTAAGTAGCTGGAGACAGCGTAAAACCATGGAAGTAGGATGAACATTGGAGTCCATCAGGACTGGGGCTGCTTCTTATGACTTATGTGATGGAACCTCTTCAGTCAGTTTCCTCCCCTTTAAAATGGGAATACTAGGCCAGGTGCAGTGGCTCATGCCTGTAATCCCAGCACTTTGGGAGGCCAAGGTGGGTGGATCACTTGAGGTCAGGAGTTCAAGACCAGCCTGGCCAATATGGTGAAACCCCGTCTCTATTGAAAATACAAAAATTAGCTAGGCGTGGTAGCATGTGCCTGTAATCCCAGCTACTTGAGAGGCTGAGGCAGGAGAATTGCTTGAACCTGGGAGGCAGAGGTTGCAGCGAGCTGAGATTGTGCCACTGTACTCCAGCCTAGGTGACAGAGTGAGAGTCTGCTTTCAAAAAATAAAGAAACAGGCTGGGCACGGTGGCTCACACCTGTAATCCCAGCACTTTGGGAGGCCGAGGCGGGCGGATCACAAGGTCAAGAGATCGAGACCATCCTGGCCGTAATGGTGAAGCCCTGTTTCTACTAAAAATACAGAAAAAAATTAGCTGGGTGTGGTGGCACATGCCTGTCCTCCCAGCTACTCAGGAGGCTGAGGCAGGAGAATTGCTTGAACCCGGGTGGTGGAGGTTGCAATGAGCCAAGATCATGCCACTGCACTCCAACCTGGTGACAGAGCAAGACTCCATCACAAAAATAAATAAATAAATAAATAGGGAATATTATCTCTTCACAGAGATGTCATGAGGATTAAACAAGAGGCACAATGGCACTCAAATCATGGTTCCCTTCCCTCCTTGCTTCAGTTACGAAGACTTTCAAAATAAGAGCCAACATTTTTGAGTGCTTGTGCCAAATACTTCACTTACATTATCTTATTTAATCCACTGAAAACCCCAAGAGTTCAGTACAATAATTATTCCCATTATATAGATAAGTAAGTTGAGACCTTGAGAAGTTAGGTGACTTACCCCAGGTTTGAATGTTTCTTAGTAGAGTTGGGATTTGAACTTAGCTCTTCCTTTATTCAGAGTCCAATTTTGTAACCCCCATGGCACACTGGCACTCAGTAAGACGTGGTCTAAGACAATGAATGGACATACTGTCCACAAGAAGAACAGGAAATCACTTAAGAAGAAGCCAACTGTAGAAGAGTTGTGGAGGAATGCGTACACCTCTCAGGAGGGATGAAGGCTTTGTAAATGGGATGGAGCTTTTCTAGAATAATCTAGAGATGTTCTACAGCCAGTGTGGTAGAACTGTAGCCCCTTTGGGCCAGAGAGGACAGCTGCCCTGGTGAAGGAGCACAGAACCTGACCCACTGTGCCTCAGCTGTGGGATGCTGGCTGGGCCCTTCACCTCTTTGAGTCTCAATTTTCTCATACACAAAACAAAACAAAAAGATAATAATAGTTCAATCTCTGAGGGATTTTGTGATCAGATTCATTCACTGATTAACTGATTAATTGGTTAATGCGTTCATTCCCTATGTATGTTTTGGATATTGACTGTGTGTCAGTCATTGTGCTGGGAGTGCAAAGAAAGCTAAGATGTAGTCCCTGACATTGAGATACTTGTAAATAACATCATCCATGTGAAAATGCTTGGTAAATTGCAAAGCATCATATAAATAATACTTAATAGCATTATCTCCTTGGTTGGGGGTAGGGAAGGAGGAGGAGGACATGCCCCAATAAAATAGTTAAAATATTCTTTATAGTAGTAAAAACTTGTTGTCAACACAAATGCCCCATGACAGAAGAATGGCCAAGCAAAGAACATTCCATAACTCTTAAATACGTTGGACCCTCATTCTTCCAAAGTAAGCATAGCCGTTTGGAAACGTGGATTGTTTTCTCTTTGGGGCTTGATCTGTTTGGTCTATTAGAGGTGACAGAAGCAGAGGAGACAATCTCCCTGCAGAATGTTAATGACAGTTCCAGAAAGTGTTTGCAAATCAAACTAGCATGAGATGGTGTCTAAGCCTGGGTCTGAACATCAGTGCAATGATTGGAAAATGGAAAACTATCAGTCATGTAACTGAGTATTTCATCTGTGAGATTACAAACAACCAATCAGATTTCACCCCCTGCCCCTGCCCACTGATTTGGGGGTTGTCTTGGCTTTGGGTCCCCACTGCCCTACTGGGTGCATGGTCTTCACTCTGCTTTTCATTTCAGACTACATCAATCTGTTCAGCACCAAGTGTCACGGCTGCGATTTCCCCGTGGAGGCCGGCGACAAGTTTATTGAAGCCCTGGGCCACACTTGGCATGACACCTGCTTCATTTGCGCGGTATGTCTCTAGCTTGGGGCTCTGGCTTTCTGAGAATAGGCAGGAGGGAGGAAGTGGGAATCAGATGACCACCCGCTACATCCCTTGCCATGCTAGTTTTCTGACATCCTGATCATTTTTAAAAGCTGGTGCCTCGATACATCACAGTCGAACAAAGTTTCATTCCTAATAATTATTTATAAGCCAGTGTAACTTTGTTACTTTCCATTTCGTTAAAGACAACAGAGTGTCCCAGGGTTTGGCAAACCAGCGGCTTGTCTCACCAGCAGTGTTGTCAGTGGGCAAGAGCAGCAGATGATGCTTGGCTTTGAGAGGGGCAGTTGACTTCCCATGGTTATATGTCACTTCAGATATGATGGAGTGACTTGAGGGTTTTCCCCTCCAAATTGTTACCCCAAACACTAGATTGGAGCTGACTAATCCTATGAAAAGCTGAGACAGGGTTTCTCTTGGTAGAACCTTTGGAAAGCAAGACTGAGTATCATTTTATTTTCCTAAGTGGTCCTTTCTTGATATATAGCTGCCAGGAGATAAGCCCTGGATTAACTATTAATTGTGTGCTACTTATTTCTGCTGAACAGCTGCGTCACTTTTAGTATGAGACTGGCATTTTCCTTCTGAAGGTTTTGGGTTGGGGTGGGCACATAATGGTGTGCCTACAGGCATTTAGACTCTGAGGGAGAGGTAGGAAACAGTCATCCCTGAGAAAGCCCCCTAATGTCAATCTGTCATTGACTAATCTTGATTTGATAATTTTTTCTTTTTTTTTTTGCAATGGAGTTTCTGCTCCTGTTGCCCAGGCTGGAGTGCAGTAGAGCGATCTCGGCTCACTGCAACCTCTGCCTCCTGGGTTCAAGCAATTCTTCTGCCTCAGCCTCCCGAGTAGCTGGGACTACAGGCACACACCACCATGCCTGGCTAATTTTGTGTATTTTTAGTAGAGAGGGGATTTCACCATGTTGGCCAGACTGGTCTCAAACTCCTGACCTCAGGTGATCCACCCGCCTCAGCCTCCCAAAGTTGTTGGAATACAGGTGTGAGCCACCGCGCCTGGCTGATTTGGGAAAATTAAGGCACCCCTACTATTTTTTTTAACCAGAGTTTCTCAAGGTAAATTTTGGAAATGTATGAAATATCTGTACAGTTTTTACTTGAATAATTTTTATAGACTTATGACATAGGATGACCCTAGTCATCAAGTTTACGGACATATGCTTTCGGTTCTACACTTTGCTTCCATACCCTGCCATCTGTGGGACACACTGTATTCACTCTGTGTGTTGGTTTGCTAGGGCTGCCTTGACAAATTACTGCAAACTGATGGCTCAAACAACAGAAATGAACACTTTCACAGTTCAGGAGGCCAGAAGTCCTAAATCAAGGTGCTGACAGGAGGCCATACTCTCTCTCCGAGCTTCTAGTGGTTGCCAGCAATCCTTGGCATTTCTTGGCTTGCAGCTGTGTAACTCCAATCCCTGCCTCCATTATCACAAGGCTGTCTCCCCTCTGTGTGTGTGTCTTTACATGACATTCTCTTCTGAGTGTGTCTGTCTCTGTGTGGTTCTCCTCTTTTTTTTTTTTTTTTGAGACGGAGTCTTGCTCTGTCACCCAGGCTGGAGTGCAGTGGCGCGATCTCCACTCACTGCAAGCTCCACTTTTTTTTTTTTTTGAGACGGAGTTTCACTGTTGTTGCCCAGGCTGGGGTACAATGGCACGATCTTGGCTCACTCCTAACTCTGCCTTCTGGCATGTGAATTTTGTGGAATGCAGTTCAACCCCTTAACACTCTGATTTTCCAGTTCTTTGAACAGATTCTCTAGTTATCTTTTAGGGTGTTTTAAATACATCCCCTCCAAAAAGAGACAATGGTGTAAATATACTGGCTTTGGGGTTGTCCCCTGCAAAGTTATAGCTCCCCTGTGTCAGGCACAGCACAGGGCTCTCTGAACCTTACATTCAAGCCATGACTTGTCTAGTCCTGAGGCACTGCCTGCACATCTGGTTACCCAACTTCTGGAAGGATCCAAGAGACCTGGGGAAGGTCCAGGAAGACAGTGGCACAGAAGGCCTGTTTTCCACGGGCGGGCTGATGAGAGGTCTGTGTCACATGCAGAGGGAATTGTGGCAAAGGTGAGTGTGGGTCTGCTCCTGCAAGCCTCACAATTTCAGCTGAGTCACAACAGCAAAAGTCCAAGAGAGAGACCAGAAGAAGCCGTAAAGCTTGGGGTGGCTCAGGCTGATATTACAAATAAGTTCCAGAGAGTGAAGTCCAGCCTGTGAGAGGCCCATAGCACTGCCCTTTGGAGGATCAGCATGGAGATCGTTAGGTCTCCCTCCAAAGCAGCCTGCATGGTACTCACTGCCCTGTCAACATATAGTGAAGTGGAACATGGTTGTTTTTTTGTTTTTGTTTTTTTGTGAGGCAGAGTCTTGCTCTGTCGCTCAGACTGGAGTGCAGTGGCACGATCTCAGCTCACTGCTACCTCCACCTCCCAGGTTCAAGCAACTCTCTGCCTCAGCCTCCTGAGTAGCTGGGATTACAGGCGCCCGCCACCAGGCCTGACTAATTTTTGTATTTTTAGTAGAGATGGGGTTTCACCATCTTGGCCAGGCTGGTCTTATGAGCCACCCACCTCAGCCTCCCAAAGTGCTGGGATTACAGGTGTGAGTCACTGCACCCAGCTGGAACGTAGTTTTAACATTGGGAAGAAATCTTTTGATTGGAAAACTTTGAGGGACATGAGGGATTTTTTTTGTTTTTGGTCCTCTTTCTGTCACTTCATATTTCCAAATCACTTTTGATGAGCATGTATTTTCCTGTAACTTCCAAAAACTTAGTAAGAGAAAGATCTGGAGTAGCTCTCCCAGCTGATGTGCTGTTTTCTCACCAGTGAGATCTCAGATAGCACATTTTTAGACTAACTCAGTTTACCAAATATTCCTGGCATTTGGGGAATACAAGAGTGTCCCAGAACAAGTCTCTACCTTGACAGAATCTAGAATCTTGAAAGGCGAACAAAGCAACAGATGTGAGCAATTCAAAAGTAGAACAGGACAGTACCCCTCAAGTCCAAAGCATATAAAGTGAAGGCTGGGAGCCTGAGAAGTGCAGTGTGAGTCAGGGTGAAAGTTAAGCTTCTGTCTGGCACTGACACTTGAGTTCCAATGGAAAGCGTCTGACTTTTTTTTTTTTTTGAGACGGAGTCTCGCTCTGTCGCCCAGGCTGGAGTGCAGTGGCGCGATCTCAGCTCACTGCAAGCTCCGCCTCCCGGGTTCACGCCGTTCTCCTGCCTCGGCCTCCCGAGTAGCTGGGACTACAGGTGCCCGCCACCTCGCCCGGCTAGTTTTTTGTATTTTTTTTTAGTAGAGACAGGGTTTCACCATGTTAGCCAGGATGGTCTCGATCTCCTGACCTGGTGATCCACCCGTCTCGGCCTCCCAAAGTGCTGGGATTACAGGCTTGAGCCACCGCGCCCGGCTGGGTCTGACCTTAGTGGAGGAAAAATGTCTTACCAATCCCTCTTTTGCTCTAAGTCTTGCCCTTCCCTACTGGTGTGGGTATCAGGAGCGGATGGGCAGTGGTATAACTTTTGTAGGCAGTCCTAGGGGCTGCTGCAGCTGGCCTAGTTTATTACCCTAACTCTGCTGGGACCTGCGGTCAGCACTGTTCATGGTCACCACCCCTTTATAGCTAGGCCCTGATGTCACCCAGCCACAGAGCCTGGGGGTTAGACCATCCCTGTTGTCCCCTATGCTGGGTGGGCAGGAGGCCTCCTCCACCATGAAGCACCTTGCATCAAGAAGACACTGGGCACAGCTCCCTATGAGGGTTCCCACCCTCAGCCCCATCTCACCTATGAGCCATATTTGAGGTTCTGTCCCTTTCTCATTTATTGGTCTTCAGTCCCTGGACACCTTCTCTCCCCAGCCTGACTCATCCCGAAGTTCTCACAAGCAACCAGCATTGTCCCAGACCAGGTAGGGTTTCCCAGCCACAGCTGCAGTCATTGACAGGCTGACTCACTCCAGAGCTGCCTTTCTGTCTTCCTTAAAGCCCATTCTCACCAGTTAGATCTTGGGTGTCCATCTTTTTGCATTAGTCTTTAAATTGTCACCAGCAGCTTGAGGCCTCCACACGAGCCTGGTTATACTCAGCATCACTGCATCCACCTGGGATGTTTTCAAACACTTTTGCAGCTCATTGGCTCCCAGGACCCACTGGAAGCCCTGTGTGATCCTAGGTATAATGTCCCCAACTGGACCATCAGAGCCTTGCACATGGGGCCAGCATGGTGCCCTTTTCCTTTCCAACTCTCTTGGACTGGATACATGCACACTGCCCCAAGCTCAACTCTGGAGGGTGATTTCTGTTTCCTGGGGGGATACCTGTATGTGGGGACTCTACCTGCACTCCTCCTGATGTCAGTGTCCTGGAGATGGCTCCCAATTCTGCCCCCCAGCAGGGATCTTCACTGCCCTCTCCTAGGCTGGGACCCATGCCAGCCAATGTGACTTCCTGGCAGACTCTGACCTACTGGTATATTGCCAACCCAGGGCCTAGCTTACATACTAGTAGTCTGACAAACTCAGAGGGCTACCTCCGTACAAACCCATGAACCCAGAACAATTTCAAGTAAACACAGCCCCTTTCTGCTATGGGGTAGGGGAAAAATTAGCGTAGAACTGGAGTCTTATAGACCTGGACAGAGATTCCCAGCCCTACAACTTACTAGGTCTGCGACTTAAGAAAGACATAGGCGCCCTTTGAGCTCCAGTTTTTTCATTTGTGAAGTGGGAGAAAAGCATACCTACCTTGTAAGGTTTTCATGAGAATTAAATGAGCTGCTGTATATAGTGTTTGGCATCCTGCTTGGTCCATAGTAGCCCCCACAAATATTAGTTCTCTTCCTCAGACTATACTCTATGTTGTCATCATGGGGATATAGAATTTCATCTCCTGGGCTGGGCACGGTGGCTTACGCCTGTAATCCCAGCACTTTGGGAGGCCGAGGCAGGTGGATTGCTTGAGGTCAGGAGCTCGAGACCAGTCTGGCCAACATGGTGAAACCCTGTCTCTACTAAACTACCAAAAAAAAAAAAAAATAGCTGGATGTGGTGGTGGGTGCCTGTAATCCCAGCTACTAGGGAGGCTGAGGCAGGAGAATTGCTTGAACCTGGGAGGTGGAGGTTGCAGTGAGCCGAGATCACACCATTGCACTCCAGCCTGGGTGACAGAGTAAGACTCCATCTCAAAAAAAAAAAAAGAAAACAAAAAAGAATTTCATCTCTTTTGTTTTTTATATATTTCTCTGCATACTTTTACATATCTTTTTTTTTTTTTTTTTGAGACAGCGTCTTACTCTGTCGTCCAGACTGGGGTACAGTGGTACAATCTTGGCTCACTGCAACCTCGGACTCCCAGGTTCAAGCGATTCTCCTGCCTCAGCCTCCTGAGTAGCTGGAATTACCGGCACGCACCACCACACCCGGCTAATTTTGTATTTTTAGTAGAGATGAGGTTTCACCATGTTGGTCATGCTGATCTCAAACTCCTGATCTTGTGGTCCTCCTGCCTTGGCCTCCCAAAGTGCTGGGATTACAGGCATGAGCCACCGTGCCTGGGCCATATCTATCTTTTTAAATGGTGGCATTCCATTGGAAAAATACACCTTGAAAATTTACTGAATCATCTCCCTATTGAGAGAAATTTTAGTAGTTTTCAGTTTCTAGTTGAGCACATGTTGCTTTCTTGTTCTGCAGAGTTGGTTCTGCAGGATAAATTCTCTAGCATGGCATTACTGGGTTATAGGGTAGGCACATCTCAGTGGTTCTTGTTCAACATGGCCAGATTCCCTATGGAACACTGAGCTCACTCGTGTGTCTCCAGCAGTCCACCAGTAGGCCTTGTTCCTTTTTGGCATTGCTGATTTTTGATTGAATACTTTGTGGTTTTCTTTTTAAGCTTTTTGGCTAGAGGCATGTTAGGTTAAAGGTGACAAGCCATTGAGGTTTTCTTGTTTTATTTGTCTTGCTAGATTAATAGGTGTTCTACTGGTATCTCAGGGCAGTTTTTCTTATAATTTTTTTTAACTAATCTTCTTTTTTTTTTTTTGGTAGAGACAGAGGCTCACTATGTTGCCCAGGCTGGTCTCAAACACCTGGCTTCAAAAAATCCTCCTGCCTCAGCCTCCCAAAGCATAGGGATTATAGGCATGAGCTACTGCGCCTGGCATCAGGGCAGTTTTAATTTGCTTTTTCTTTAATTATTAGTGAGGACAATCTTCTCTGATGTGTTTGTTAGTTTACTATTTTCTTTAGATGTGAATCCTCTCTGTGGTATATTGACTTGTGAACTTGTATTGACTCTTTATACATTTTGGATAGCATGAATTGGTCAGCTTCATAGTGTGTATTTTCTCTATTCCATTAAATTTAATTAATTTCATTTGATTTTATTCTGTGTTCTTCAGGAATCTTAGTTTTTACATAGTCCAACTCATGTACTCTGCTTCTGTCGTTAAGAATTCATAATGGGAGAAATAGGCTGTTGCCTTTTCTCTGCAATGCATGGGGCAAGGTCCTTCCTTCCTTCCTTCCTTCCGTCCTTCCTTCCCTTTAGACAGAGTCTTACTCTGTTGCCCAGGCTGGAGTGCAGTGGCATAATCACAGCTCACTGCAACCTCTCTCTCCCAGGTTCAAGAGATTCTTCTGCCTCAACCTTCCCGAGTAGCTGGGATTACAGGCGCATGCCAACGTGCCCCTGGCTAATTTTTATATTTTGTATTTAGTAGACATGGAGTTTCGCCATGTTGGCCAGGCTGGTCTCGGACTCCTGACCTCAAGTGATCTGCCCGCCTTGGCCTCCCAAAGTGCTGGGATTACAGGACTGAGCCACCGCACCTGGCCAGGGCTTTTTCTTGAAATCTGCTCATGTCCCCCGCCACATGGGTCTCACGCAGGTCTGTTCTCTGTTCCAGGTCTGCCATGTGAATCTGGAGGGGCAGCCGTTCTACTCCAAGAAGGACAGACCCCTGTGCAAGAAGCACGCACACACCATCAACTTGTAGGTGGCTGAGGCCGCCTGTGCTGATGAGGCCCAGAGCTGCTCCTGCTGCTGGCAACAAAGGATTCGGGAGGCTGATGTTTCTTCTGAGGGGAACAGGGAGAGAAAGGAAGCAACTGAGCCCTTTGGAAGTATAATTTTAGGTTTTTTCTTCTGTACACAAATCGTGTATTTGCATAGTTCAGACTAGGAGCCAAATGAAGACTCAAAACCAAGCTAGTTATTAATCTAAGACTGGAATTGTGCTTCAGACATTTAGAGCAGAATTCCAAGAACTCAAAAGTGAAAAGCAACAAGCAGCTTTCCCAAAGCGATACACTTCCTGCGGTCACCAGAGGAGGACAGAGCTCAGAGCAGCTGTGGAGAATCTGAAGCATTCTGTGGAGTTCTTAAGCGCTCCCCTGGCAAACAAATTGAAGTGCCAAACAGCACTCGCTGCAGGGTATTTTTAGAGTCATAGCTGAGAGCTTGTTAGCTAAGACCCATTGGGCTTTCCTCACCAAAAAAGGAAGTGTTATTCCATTACTAGCGTCATGGAGCTACCTCTGCGCATCAGACTTCAGACCTTGAACAAACTTGAAACATTCTAATGGGAGCCCGGACGTCCAAAGAGATGTCTTCTGGGAGCCACTGGGCAATTGCCAGGGCTCCAGGAAGGGCTCTGGCTCAGGTTGCAGACAGCTGAGAAAAGATGGCCCTGTCAGCCACCCTCTCTCAGTCTGAAACATCCAATGTCCCCAGAAGGCTTAGCTCCTTTTTGAATTGTGATGGGAAAGTAGAATTGGGTTTTTCCAGTTTTGCTCTGTGGTGTGTGAGAGATTTTTTAAAGGCTCTGGGTTGTCTTTGGCCTTTGTTTAGCTTTAAGGGTTCGTTAGTATGAGTGTCCAGTCGTGTGCATGAATTTCACCCCAACCTGTGACTGCTCACTTACGATGTCTCCCCCAGTACCCTCCATCTCAAATAGGCTTGGTGGCCTGTGGAAAAGAAGAGAGACAGAGAGACAGTGTCTGAAACAGGATGGCAGAATAGGCTCACATGCCCAAACTCTGGGTGGGGAAGAGAAAACTTACTTTCTGCCACCCTCAGTAAGAACATACGAGGAGGCAGGACCTCCCACCTTCAGGTCTGCACCATCCATTTCAAATGTTCCTTAAAATGCAGCACACTGAGTTTGTACAACTGTGTTAGCTGCTGGAAGGAACAGATGCACTGATATATATGCATTTGCTGTTTTGGCCAATATTTTGAAAATGTATGAGCTGAGTTGATCTAGCTATTATTTAAGTATTTATTGAAGTAGAGGGGCCTTCAAACTACTTTATGATACTAGTGATAGTTTGAGTTAGGTAAGCATCTTAAAGCTGTTTGGTGATAAATAAGGCAGTTTAGATTCTGTGGTTGGAAATAGTGTAGTCACTTTCGTCTTTAGGAAGCCCTGATAATATGCTCATCGAAAACATGGCATTGATGCAGGCAGTTTGCATGAATGTTTCTCACTTGAGCACGCTATTTAGGCTGTCTTCCAACTCACTCTATTCTGCTCTTACTCCTGTTTTGGATTTTTCTCTTTGCACGTTTGAAATATTTTATGGGAATGTATTAGAACTCTTTTCTTCTAAGGACTGAGACTTCCAGGGGACTGCCATCTTACCTGAGTGTCTCCTCTCCATTAGGGAGAAGGAAGCAGCTAGCTGTGTCCCTAGCTGCAGGAAGCCCCTATTTTTTTCCAAGCAGGAAGCCACCAATCTCCCCCAGGGAGCACCAGGGAGGGACATGGATGTGCTCCTGCCACAGGGCCCTTCCTATCTTTGGATCTGCGAGAAGGTGAATACAAAGCAGCAGGCAGAGTAAAATCTGCTGGGACTGCCTGGAGATTTGTCAGGAGTTGCAGACAAATACCTTGGAGCATTCTGTTATTTTTGGAAAGTTCAAATAGGCCGGGACAAGGAGGTTGCTGACTGTACTGACAGGCCCTAAGTCGTTTTCTCCGAAAACTATCTATTCAATTGTTAGGGACTGGTCTTGAGGAAAGAAAGAAAGAAAAAAAACGTTCCCTAGAATTCAGTTTCCAAAATCTCTTTTTAAAGCGTTCTTAACTACGAGGCGGGCGCGGTGGCTAAAGCCTGTCAATCCCAGCACTTTGGGAGGCCGAGACGGGTGGATCACGAGGTCAGGAGATCGAGACCATCCTGGCTAACACGGTTGAAACCCGTCTCTACAAAAATACAAAAAAACTAGCCGGGCGAGGGTGGCAGGCGCCTGTAGTCCCAGCTACTTCGGGAGGCTGAGGCAGGAGAATGGCGTGAACCTGGAGGTGGAGCTTGCAGTGATGAGATCCGGGCCACTCGCACTCACAGCCTGGGCGACAGAGCGAGACTCCGTCTCAAAAAAAAAAAAAAAAAAACAATAAAGGTTTTCACACACAACACACACACACACACACGATCATTAAAAAGTATATGATCATTAAGAAGAAAAGTGAAAAATATCTCAAGGATGGTTTTACCACAGTCTTTATTGAATCAATTTTTCTACATTTCAGAGCAAGTATAGATTCTGAGGGACTCTTATTTGCCAAAAAAAACACAACTAGCAAAAAATTTAAAAAAAAAGAAAAAAAAAGAAAAAAAAACCAACACTTAAAATGTAGCAGGAAAAGAAGGTAGTTTTGAGTGTGGTTCACTCAGTGTCTGTGAGTCTGGTGTAGTGTCAGGAATAAGGCTGTGTCTAGCTCAAGTTTACATTGTGGATGTCCTACAACACTAAACAAAATTTTTCATAATCCATGGTGGGGAGCACACTTTGGAGCTACAGTTCTTGTCTCCTCATTGTTGACATTAATTTAACATTTATAGGCCAGGTGCCGTGGCTCACGCCTGTTATCCCAGCACTTTGGGAGGCTGAGGCAGGTGGATCACCTGAGGTCAGGAGTTTGAAACCAGCCTGGCCAATATGGTGAAACCCCATCTCTACTAAAGATACACAAAATTAGCCGGGTGTGGTGGCGGGTGCCTGTAGTCCCAGCTACTTGGGAGGCTGAGGCAGGAGAATCTCCTGAATCCTGGAGGTGGAGGTTGCAGTGAACCGAGATCATGCCATTGCACTCCAGCCTGGGCAACAAGAGTGAAACTCCGTCTCAAAAAAAAAAAAAAAAAAAAGATAAACACAACTTTTTGCAATGGAGTGACATATCTGCAGCTTATATCTGCAGTGTTTGTGTTAGGAACCTAGCTTTTATAATGTTAACTTTTTAACTCAGTATTCTGGCTTTGGGACTTTTTGTTTTGTTTTGGGTAAGATTTCAGAAGTGGAATGTAGCCTGTTAAAAGTGTGCACAAAAATATTTTGCATGTTTTTTTTCCTCCTGTGTGAATTCTACTTTTTAGCAAAAATAAAAGCCCCCCAAAGGATGTGCAAATACAGATTTTTCTGTGTAAAGTTTTTCACGTCACATCAGAAGTAGCTTACTTCTATATGGCCACAAATAGAAGTTGGAGACAAAACAAAACATTCTGTGGGAAGAAACACAACTTACTTGCCCTGATGCTCAATAGCAGTGTAATCACCATGTTTAAACCGACAAGGATACGTGAATAACATGAATGTTCTGCATACAAAGGGAATTACCAGGCAAATAATAAACTGAAGACCTCGTCTCACATTATATTTTCATAAAGGTTTGTTTGCTTAGCTACTTGGTGGTCAAATATTTCCAATTAATTTATTTCTATTCTACTCTAAATGGCTTCATTTCTAGAAAAGTTGCCATATTTCCTCTTACATCATTTGTTTTCAAATAAGTTCAGAGTAAAATCCTCTTATAGAATTTTTTTTTCTTTTTAATAATGAAGACCCTTCTGAGGGTACTATGTTTAACAAAATCAAACTCATTCTTTTTCAAGGTATTCTGTTTCTAGGAATTACTGAAAAGTAAAGGGAAGTTGTACATGCCGTATTTGATTTTTAGCACCTGAATCAGACTTTGAAAGAGCTGTGCAATTACAAACAGAAATCACGTCTCATCATTTTAGTACTTCTTAAAGCTATAACAATTTTAAAAATAGATGGTGGAGAAGAAAAGGCTGCTAGACTCACAGAATTTAAAGGAATCTAGGAGATCACCTAGGCATTTTTCCAGATGCAGGAACTGAGGCCCAGAAAGGGGAAGTGGCTTTCTCAGCCTACACAACCAGCGAGGGAGGCAGGCAGGTGCCATGGAATAAACATGGACTTTGGCATGATAAGACTAGGGTTTAGATGGAGGCTGACTTAATACCACTTGAGTGGTATTGGGAGAGTCTCTCTAAGCTTGTTTATCTATCTAAAAATGAGGGTAATGGCATCTGCTTCACAGGGATATTTTGAGAAGCAAATGTAGTAACTTTTGGAAGAAAATTGCAATACAAATGTCAGTTGTTATTATCACCAATAGAGTGGGGACCCAAAGCCCTCATTCCTGCTCCATTTTCTTAACTCTTTCCCCTTACCCATACAGGAAAAATCCACTGGAAAAACCAGCAGCAAGAATGAATAATATACAAATAGTGGCTAGGCACAGTGGCTCATGTCTGTAATCTCAGCACTTTAGGAGACCAAGGTGGGTGGATCACCTGTGGTCAGGAGTTCGAGACCAGCCTGGCCAACATGGTGAAACCCAGTCTTTACTAAAAATACAAAAAGAATAGCTGGGCGTGGTGGCAGACACCTGTAATCCCAGCTACTTGGGAGGCTGAGGCAGGAGAATTGCTTGAACACAGGAGGCAGAGGTTGCAGTGAGCTGAGATCACACCACTACACTCCAGCCTGAGTGACAGAGCAAGACTTTGTCTCAAAAAAAAAAAAAAAAATACCAACAGCCCAGAAATATGAACCAAAAATCAGAATTTGGTATAATTAACTTGTATGTAATTTCTGCCCTCCTAAGGATTTGTGGACAGAATAAATATTGTTTGTTTATTTGCTCATTCATTCATTCTTTCAACAAATATTTATTGAGCAACTACTAGTGACACGAACAGGCACTGCTTTGGACACTGACAACATGACAGTGAGTACAGCAGACAAAAACTTCGGCTGTCATGGAGTTTACTTTTTTTTTTTGACTTTTTTTTTTTTTTTTTTTGAGTTTTTTTTTTTTTTTTTTTTTTTTTTTTTTTTTTTTTTTTTTTTTTTGTGAGACAAAGTCTCACTCTGTCTTCCAGGCTGGAGTGCAGTGGTGCAATCTTGGCTCACTGCAACCTCCACCTCCCACATTCAAGTGATTCTCCTGCCTCAACCTCCTGAGTAGCTGGGACTACAGGTGCCTGCCACCACACCAGCTAATTTTTTTATTTTTAGCAGAGACAGGTTTCACCATGTTGGCCACGCTGGTCTCGACTCCTGACCTCAAGTAACCTACCTGCCTTGGCCTCTCAGAGTGCTGTGATTACAGGAGTGAGCCACTGCACCCGGCCGATATTCTTTTTTTTAGAAAAAAGTTATTTATTTTTAATTATTTTATTAAAAAAGTTTTTTTTGAAACAGAGTCTTACTCTGTCACCCAGGCTAGAGTGCAGTGGTGCAATCTTAGCTCACTGCAACTTCCGCCTTCCGGGTTCAAGTGATTCTCGTGCCTCAGCCTCCTGAGTATTTGGAATTACAGGTGTGCATCACCATGCCCGGCTACTTTTTGTATTTTTAGTAAAGACAGGATTTTGCCATGTTGGCCAGGCTGGTCTCAAACTCCTGACCTCAAATGATCTGCCTACCTCGGCCTCCCAAAGTGCTGGGATTATAGGCATAAGCCACTGTGCCTGGCCT